AAAAAAATAACTGTAGTAAGAAAAACAAATGAAAAATGCGAACTAATGTAACGTCGTATGGTGAGTTTTTGTTCGTATCGTGGAGCAAAAATATGTTCGAATTTCATGTCGTATCCTGAAAATTTCGTATGCTGGGGCGTTCGTAACCTGAGGTACCACTGTATTATTAATGACATATGATGGTCTTAGAAGACATTTGATATATCAAGAACATATAATGAACTAATAACAAAAAAATTAGTTACTTGCTTCTAAATATCAGGTGATTGTAATTAAAGTACAGTCACCTGATATTCAACATTGTTCAAAATGATATTTAGCAGTTTAAATACAACCAAATTTGGTTTGGCGTTATGTCAGGACATGCAGAAGACATTTTTAAAAAATTTGTCACTGGCACTGAAAGCAACAAAACAGCAGTTTCAATTATGAGGACACTTAAAAAGTGTAGTTTATCGAGGACATATTACAAACTTGGCAGCCTTGAAAGACAGTATCACATTGTATGTGAGAAGGAACTATAGATGATCAATTACAGTTGACACCGAACCACTTCATGCCTTCCGGTTTCATACTTTCAGAATGGAGATCATTCTTATTGAACAACATTTCGTGTTGTTAAGGTTTTCGTATACCACGAGTATCTTACACAAGTGAAATGTTTGCTGCATTTAAATCATCAAAAGTGTTGTAGTGACGAGTTTTGGTGCTAATTTTTTAAATATTTTTTATGGGAAATGCCTTTTGCATGCCACCATACTAGATTTGGTTAAATTTGGGTTGCTAAATACTGTATCAGCATTGAATATGGATACTTTAATTATGATCATTGTGAACAACTAAACTTGCAAAGCACAATTGTGCAAACTCTAATTGTAAATTTTATGTAAGCAAAATGAAGGAAGAAAACTTCTTTAATTTTCTTTTAATAATAATATATTGTAGATATCTATATAATTATATAAGTTGAATATATATATAATTATATGGATGGCATGTACTGGTTCTGGTTAGTCAAGTTTGAATCTGTAGGTTTCATGCAATTGAAAACAGAGTATAATTTTTTTATCGGTCGAATTTAGTCAGATCGTTGCAATTTTATCGTGTACAGACGTCAGCTGCGATGTAAATTGCCGTGATTTCCGAAGAAATCATATTGCGTTCACTCTCCTTTAGAATAGAATGCAAAAATCACAACTTTACCAGATAACACTCCCATTATCATAAAAACTTTTTGTAGTTATTTAAGTTAAACTGCTAAAAGTCGGAGTGTACGAGCGCCTACGTAAGACTTTCGTTGCAGATGCCTGTTATCAAAGATATTCTTAAAAAATCAAAGATGATTTAATTTAATTTTTTAGTGATAAACTAGAAAGCGTTTAGGTGATTGTTTAATTTTATTAGTTGGCCCAGAAGTAGCCGAGTGGATAAAATCACTGAACGTTGGTAGTTGGTCATAGCTCGCACCTGGTCAACAGGTTGACCACGTGGAGTTCTCCTTCTTCACGTTTGTAACACCTAAATAGGAACCAGTTTCCCGTAGAAAGTCTTCCCGGGAGACATTTACATTTACTCTAGGCAAATCGCTCGTGTCGCGTTGCTATAAACAAATAAAAATTTTATTAGCATTTCCAATTAAAATACAGTAGACCCCCTATAACACTGTTGATAATTCCGTGTTATATGAATTCCATGTTTTACGATTCGCTTAGATTTTACAAATACGTGTGCCAGGCTGTGAACGACTCACGTATTTGTAAAATCTAAGTGACTCGTAAAACATGGAATTCATATAACACGGAATTATCAACAGTGTTATAGGGGGTCTACTGTAGTACATACTGGTTTTTATGAGAATTGGAGTTGGTGATGAAATTTAACCATTTAATAAATAAATATAATTCCAAGTCTTATATTTTAGTGACTTCAATTCTTTTAATAAAATAAAATTAATCAATTTGTTAATATTGTTTGAAATAGTTATGCATCATTATATATTTTAATTCATTTTAGATATGAAATTATGACAGACTGTTGGAATTTAGAACCAGGTAAACGCCCAGATTTTAAGCGTCTTGGTGAGAGAATAGGAATGCTGCTAGAAGAAAGTACGCAACAGGTATGTATACAGTATTTAATATTCGTAATTATCATTTTCATAAAATTTTTAATTTTGCTTTTCCAACTGTTATGTATACGAATGCAAATTTGACACGATTCCAATACTTTCCCATAACAAGGATAAGTATTGGAATCGTGTCAAATTTGACACACTGAGTTTTTGCAAATCTCTATTTTGAGACCCTTTGAACCCAAAAAAGTGAATAAAAAGGGAAAAAAATTGTGCGTGTGTGTGTTGGCGTCTATTTCATTTATCATCTAAATGGGTAACGATTAAGTAACGGAATTTGGTTCAGTGACTTGTGCATAAGGGACATTCATGCTACTAAATTTTGATGGTTGAAGGTAGAGGAGGGAGGTCCTGTCATATCTCGAGAAGGGTTGGACTTGATGATTTTACTCGTCATTAGCATTTACATTTTTTTTAACTTATCACTGCCCTCGAAATTCAGTTTTTTGCCATTTTATAATAATTAATTATATAAAAAGTTTTTTTAACAGGTAGCGCCACACAATTATATTTTTATGTTTAATAATATAAAAGCAGTATTTTAAATAAAATATTGTATCATAACAGCCGGGAACGTTAACGCAACTCGTTGCTTGATTTTTTTATTAATGCGATAGTACTGCTCGTATTTTCTATGAGAAGAAAAATACTGGTAGATAAATAATGTAAAGTATGTTGTTGTAAATTGAGTATAAATATTTAAATAATATTCTGTTTAAAATATTAAAAATGTTCTTTCATATATATCTATTTAGAGAGCATTAACCGATTTGGCAATATCAAGAATTACCATGTTATAGTGTAGTTGATTAAATTATTTAATGATTTGATACTTTAGCACTAATGGTGTTGTGATCTTTTGTAAATTAATCATTAGACTATTCTGATTAAACTATTTACTCTAAGGATTTCTACCGGAAACTTTTATGTAATTTTTGAATAAACGGTGTCTATTAAATATGACAAAAATAAATACAGTGGCCGTCGTTTATTGTGATCACGTTGGTTCAACACTATTTTGATAACAAGAGGCTGATAAAAATATCCGTCAGCCGCCATCTTGCAGGGCAGCCAGTGTACAGGGGATATGTTTTCACTGCAGGGGTAGTCAACTAGAGATAGCGAAAAAAATTTTCGATGTATTGCCACAATATTTTCAAGTGCGTATTTTTATCGAATTAAAAAAGAATCCAATTCAGTTACTTTCTATATTAAATCACGAACGAGAGAAAGCACTAATACTTGCTTATACTGTATACATAGTAGCTTACTATAAACTTACGTTACGTAGTGATGTTATTTTTTGTCTAACAATAAATCGCGACAAGATTTTATGTAATGAAAGTCGATCGCAGAAACAAAAAATTATCCACCTGTTCTACAATATAAATAGAAAAGCATATTAGGCTGTATTCACAAAACTAGAGGAAATCAACTTATGATGTTATTTAATAAATAAAAATAGATGCAATATTACAATGGTAGCGAGGTTGCGGCCGAAGTTCACGTTTTACGGCCGCAACCTCGCTGGTAACTCCAACGTTTATTTATTTATTTAAAGTTTTCGATGTTCTAAATATATCTTATTCAAGAGGAACAGTCACAGAACAGCGATTCTCAGCTAATGATACGCTAATTATTCTGCGCGCACCAATTTATTCTAAGGAAAATTTACGCAGTTTCACTTTCTCATGAAGTGCATTAAATGCATTTACCTTTACACATTGAATTTTGACAGCGATTTAAAATGTATCATTTTCAATCAGGACACCCCATATAATATAACAGATATATTTTCTAAAAAGAATATGCATGAGGTCATTATAAAGTATTATTCCAGGATAATTAAGTAATAGAAATAGAAATTTCTCTTCCTTTGGATTTGTGAAAGAGAGATAATAAACAATAAAGTTTTTATTATTTTCGTATAATTTTATGAAGAACATTGTGTAAGATATAAAAGTAATATTTGCATTATATAAGAGTATCTTGTAAAGAAAAAATTCTTTATTTTTCAGAATTTCTATTTTTGAGGCGGAGCGATAGCAAAGCCTCATCTATAAGGTACAGAATTGTGTTCGTTCTCAAATTAGATTTTGATTAAACTCTGCCATTTTCCATTAATTGAGACGAGGAATCCAGAAATGTAATACGGATCCATTTAAATGTAAAAAATAGGAATTGAAGAGTTTTCGATATATAGAGGCAATTGATAACGTCGTGCTCTATGTTGCGACTGAGCGTGCCTAATGGAATTTAGGCCTAGGGGTAAAAAAGCATTGAGTGCGCCTCAGGGCTATGGAGTCGGAGTCGGAAAAAAATGTGTCGACTCCGACTCCCGATTTTAAATTTACTTTAGTTTTTTTTATTTAAATGAAAGAAAATTTATTATATATTTATTAATTTTCAAAAATCTTTTAGTATTTTGTTATAATTCATTTATTTTAAATACAAAATGCATCAATTTAATTTTTAAATATGTAGTATTCTTTGTAGTATTTGTGTTTATATTTTTACCCAATTGAATTTGAATATTTTTGAATCATTCCTTCATTATCCCTGCTTTAAATAAGTACTCTATTTTTCTGAATGAGCCAGACTAATTGATCAGAGTACATATTTTTCTTTTCTGAACAAGGGGCTGAAGTAGCTAGCTAGATCGCACACTTTTTATTTGGACTCTCTTCTGGAAGGATGAAATTGAAGTGCAAATGCTGTCGAATATATATAGATTTTATCGCTCCCTTTCTCCTCTTATTAAATATTTGTTAAAAATTAATTTTTTATATAAATAAATATTAATGTAAGTTAAATATTAAAAATACTAACTATAAAAGTATTTGTATAAATTCCCGGGGCTTCTTTCAGAGTTCAGAGTAGGCTAACCCCCTACGAGTGTTCTGCCCACCATAAAATAACTTGGTATTTAATTATTCCGGAGTCGGAGTCAGCCTACTAAAATTATCAGGAATCGGAGTCAGAGTCGAGTGTTTTTTACCGACTCTGCAGCCCTGGTGCGCCTAACGGAAAATAGGCGCGAAAATCGAGCAAAACAATAAATGGCAATTGCTTTGTTCTTGGATCGCTTCTCCATATCGGGAAATGGAAGGGTCGTGACTCTCGTAGCTGGCAGGTACAAGGATTACTTATTTCCGGTTCCGCCTCAGTTCTATCGCAATACGACAGTCACGCGACGTCCTAGTATTCAGTTAGGAAGGTTTAAATGGAATGTGATTGGGAAATATATAAAACATAAATATAATTTTATTGTTAAAACTCTAACTTCTATCTTGACCAGCTCCACTTCAAATGTTAAGATGGCGTCACTTGGTATAGTGGGTGGAGCTCCAGCTGATCCGTAACTGAGATTGGGTGGTTAAACTAGTCCTATTTTGTCAGTTATAAATATCTAGTTTAATCTGATAACAACAGAAAATGCTCTATGTTTTATACATCATTTTCTGTGTAAAAGTCTAACGTTTGTTGTTAACGCTTGTTGTGATTTGGGGGGAGGGGAAATCATTTTTTGATTACATTAAGCGACTGATAACATTAACCAGTAAGCACAATAAGTGGCGATCACTGTATAAATAAAAATTCATCCATATTGAACGAATATTTATCAAGTAATCTTTTTTACTTTTTATAGCATTACATGGATTTAGACAATCCCTATTCAAACGAAAATCAAGAGTTACAGAGTGATGAAAGTCAGAGTGACATAAAGATTACTGAAATTATTGATAACAGTGAATCCACTTGTACAAATGTGAATAACAATCCCGATAAAGATAATTCGAAACGTGAAAATAAGGTACATTATGATACTGTTAAATGTATAAAACCTGTAAGTGGTGATATAGTGATAACGCCCATGGAAACTGTTCCAATGATACATTTAGAGAAAGAAAATAATGAAGTAGGTGAAAATCCAGAGGTAGATGAAGTTCAAAGTTCTAATGAAAACATTGAAAATTCAGATAATTCGAAAGAAAATTAACTTAGATTAAACGATTATCAGTGCCAAGTTTCATGTTGTAATTGTCTTTCGCATCAATGTATGATAATTTAGAATAAACATTTCATTTATTTATTTATATAGGATATTTATTATTTGTCAAAGTAATTCTTATCGTTTCTGTATTTCCTGAAAATTACTAAAAAGTTTGATCACATGTTCACTTTAATTTTCTTAATATTTTATCAGTTTTATTGCAACTTTTAAAGATATTTAAAACTAGCTGTTACCCGCGACTTCGCCCGCGCGGATTTTGCAAGCAAACCCCATTTATATTCAATATTTCAACAACCATAGTAATTGAGTGTTGAACACAAGATTGTGTTATTAATTAAACACTTGGCTTTTTCCATCTTTATTCAGTCAATTGAATAAAGATGGAAAAAAGCCAAGTGTTTAATTAATAACACAATCTTGTGTTCAACAGTCAAAAAAGAAATAACATATATAGTATTCGGAATATCACATTTTACAAAAAGTAAATTATACAAATTTAATCCAAACACATGTATATTTTTTTAAAACATACCATTAATACGCAATGTATGCAATGACACTTATACACCACAAGTTCGCATTTTTCCAAATGCACAATGCTAGATCGTTGCACTCACTCGTTCGTATGTGTGTCTTAAGTTTTGTTACTATTTTACTTCTTTTTTTCTTCTTTTGGCTGGTGTATAGTACTGTAAAATGGCTTTTACAGTACTATACACCAGTGTTCCGCAATCGGTGTGCCGTCACAAGGGGAAAGGTGTGACATGAACTTTTACATATTCTATTAATTTCAAGTTTTATTTATATATTTTTATCACAGTTGTTGTGTTTCTTATGTTAGTGTATTTCATTCACTGATGAAATAAGATGCTGTTAAAGCAATAAACACATTTGTCGTCCCAGTACTCGCTTATTCTATTGGACTCACACAAATCTCTAGCAACTCCAAATGAAAACAAGAACAACGCTTACTAAGCATAAACAACATCATCCTAAATCTGCCATAGAAAGATTAAACCTTCCACGTAAAGATGGCGGACGTGGCCTGATCGACATAGTTAATCTCCACTACAAACAAATGCAAACATTGCGAGAGTTTTTCTACAAAAACAAGAAACATCACAGTTACATCTAGCAGTAACTCTAGCAGACTCAAATAATACACCATTAAATTTACATTCACAACGTATAGACACGAAACAACATATAAATAGCATAGACACCATTAAGCAATCATGGGTGCGAAAGGCACTCCATGGCAGACATCCCTATGACCTGGCCCAGGATTTTGTTGAGAAAACTGCATCAAACAGCTGGTTAGCTCGGGGATGCCTCTTTGGGGAGACGGAAGGATTCATGATTTTCATACAGATCAGGTTATAAATACTAAAAACTACAGAAAACACATACTCAAAGATACAACAATCACAAACGACACATGCAGAAAATGTCACATCATGCCAGAAACCATACAACACATCACTTCTGGTTGAAAGCTCTTGGCACAGACAGATAACTTAAATAGACATAATCAAGTAAATACATCAAGAGCTTATAAACATACACAAATTATTAGACATCCACGAATCATACTACAAATACGTTCAACAAACAGTATTGGAAAACAACACACAGACGCACAAAATGTACAACAGCCATAATCACAAATAAAACAATTTACCACAACAGACCAGACATCACACTCATTGACAAACACAATAAAATCACATACATTATACACATATCTGTTCCAACACTCACAATGTACAAAACACATTCACTGAATAAATTAGTAAGTACACAGAACTTTCCCAGGAAATAAGGCATCTATGGAGGACGGATAGGTTGCTTATTGTACCTGTCGTTCTCTCCTGTACAGGTATCATGCTACACGAAAGCCTGGAAACATTACAATTGAATGTAGTGTGATGTATGTGTTTCTACACATACATCATACTACAGAAGACCACTATATTGAATACATGCCATATTGTTATGAAATTCCAGAATACAGACACACACTGACANTGAATGTAGTGTGATGTATGTGTTTCTACACATACATCATACTACAGAAGACCACTATATTGAATACATGCCATATTGTTATGAAATTCCAGAATACAGACACACACTGACACTTATTAAATTTTTGTCTTGTTTTGAAGTTACTATACCTTGACTCTGGTCCGGCATAGTACACAGCCATCGGGGTCAACCGAGTATAATTCACAAAACTCAAAATAATAATAATAATAATAATAATAGGTTTATGGCATTACGAAATTCTATTAATAGTATCATATCATACGTTTTTGAGGGGAATAACATTTTGGTGTGCTCTATTGAGTCGTGTCGAGTCATAGGTGTGCCGCGAGTAGAAAAAAGTTGCAGAACACTGGTATACACCATACACAGTATATTTATTTAAGAAAATCATTCCTTTTTCTGAAAGTTTTAAATTTTAGTGATACATAAAGCAAGGCACAATAGGAGCCGTATACTGCCTATCGGAAATAAACATCACTCGTACTATAATGGTACTTTATGACTGAGTAAACAATCCTTTAACTTCTTCAACTTCATGAATGAACTGTACCCTAAGATTTCAGTTGCCTGTTCGCATAAGTTGAGAGTTACACTTACGTAGTGCAATACAGTCGACCCCCCCTATAACGCGGGTTCATATAATGCGGATTCGTATATCGCGGCGAAAAAATTGCGACCGTATTCGTATAAAGACGCTAAAAGAGACTCATAAAATACGGTAGAACGTCGTCACCGACTCGTGTCGCGACAGGATTGGTCGAATCTGGATCAATAGTGGACGAGCAGCCGAACTACTTACGCTACGGAGAGTTTAGGCGGGTAAGTTGAGTTTACTATCGTCTGTACAGTATATAAATTAGGTACCGTAAGTCTATTACAGTACTGTAATTTTATACATTTCTTGTGAAAAAAAAACATTTCTTATTCAACGAGCATAAAAATTATATTTATATTAATGATGTCTCCAAAGTTCAGCGAATTTTTCGCAGAAAAATAATTTATCAGAAAACATGCGCCCGCTGTTCAATGCTCCGCTCCACGACGAAAACAAGCTTAAGCAATGGCGTCGTCGAACGGTACACACTCGGTAAGTAATCCTACAATTTTTTGTTTATAGCATAGTTTATATGGATTATTCCCAAAAAATTATGTGTGTTTTGGAAATGTTGAGTCAAATCAGTCTAGAATCGATTAATTTTACGGAACAAAACCTTTCGAACAGCCGTAGTCCATAAATTGCACACGTGCCGTGTTGTGATTGGCTCATGTATTTAAGGATTCCTACAACGTGAAATTCTTATAAAGTGGAATGTATCTACCGCGTTATAGGGTAGTCGACTGTATACACAGAGATTGTAATAGTCAGAAAACTTGTTTCCTCAGCAGGTTTCTTCCGGAGCCTCACATTAATACCGTATTTTTTTCATTTTGAAGTAATATTTATCATTATTTGTGTTGTTTCAGAAGAAACAAAATTATTAAAAGATTTAAGATTAACTTACTTATTTTGTGTGTTTATCTTTAAAAAAAGCGGTTAGTTACGATACTTGCATTATATTTTGTATATTGATTTTTCAGTTTTTCATAAGTTATAACTTACAAAGAGGGCGTCGCTTCAGGCAAGTCAAGTAAGACTTGCCTGAAGCGACTTGTTAGTACAGTATCCACATTTATTTGGTAGATAAATAGATGCTATTTGTCTTCCTAAGAGGATATTTCTCTGTGGAAAGTATTTTTTAAATTGTCTTTCGCATCAATATATAAGAATTTAGAATAAACATTTCATTTATTTATTTAGGACTAAATTTGCCAAAGTATTTCTTATCATTATCGTTCTTATCGTTAAGTTATTTAACTATCGGATTAAGGTTGTAAAGCTGATTAACTGTGACGCCATTGTGTTATGACAAAATCATGATGGAAGAAAGTAAGGTGTTCATTTCTGGGTCAGAAAAAGCATTGATTTGCGCATGACGTCACGTACGAACAACTGTCCATAGTTAGATCGTGTATTCGCTACACAGAATAAAATTAGCAAGAATAACCGATTTTCGTATTTCGTCAATGGTTATTTACGTAGTATTTGATTGTTATAATCAATCAAATAGAAATAAAGAAATTGTATTTCCATGACATTCGTTTTCCTGGAGACAAATGTGCCCAGTCGCGTTCCGACGTGCGGACAAAATCAGTCTTAAGCATGGAAAGTACAAATTATTTGTACAAAACAAATTTAAAAATATTATATATCTATCATGGATAAAGTTTATCTTTATTTATTTAGCATGGTATCATTAAAAGGAATTTATACTAAATGAATATGGTAACCCTATCTATATATATGCTCAAGCAGTTATTATGTATTTGAAATTTCTGACATTTTTGCAAGAAATCATAAAACAAACAAAAAAAAAATCACATGATATCATACATTATTTCCCCCTTTATAATTATAATTTTATGTAATTTCAAATGCTTAAAGTCTAGAAAAGCAATTTATAACACTGATTTCAGTTCCAAGACCCAGGGCTATAGTCTCTGTTTCCCCTCCATCTTGTCAGCACTAGTTATATCAAGAATGATCAATATATATGATTCATTATCATGGATCATATATATTGTTCATCTTTGTGGCTTTGATCAACAGTTTTTAACCATTTTGCATTAGCAGATTTATTTATTGGGAGTAAATAATACAATAAAGAAAAATATAGTCAGTATCATATAGCCTGCTCCTACAGTTGACATAACTAAAATATGAAAAGACAATATNATCGAAAATATCTTCATACATTTTAAGAAATGTTTAAAAATTAAGTTTAGAAATCATCATTAAAAGGTTATTCGTTAGCCTTGTTATCCCTTTGTTCGTACGTGACGTCATATGACGTCTGTAGACGTTATAAAAAATGCTCAATGGTACACCTTGTTTTCTTCCACCATGGACGAAACATGCTGATATCTTTGAGCCATGCGATTGCTAGCGAGTTTTTTTTTTTTTTTTTCTTTCTTCCACTAAATCGCTTTGCCTTATTGTTTCAATAAGGCAAAGCGATGTTTTTTTAAGTAACAAACTGTAACAAATATATGTATAATAAAATCCTATCAACTTGACTTTTGTAGCCGAATCTATTTCAATTAAAAAGTATGTACAAAAGTGTGGTTTTTGTGAATTCTGTATTGTTTACTCATGTAAATCAATTTTTTCAGTTTTTTTTTCGTCAATCTGTGATTAAAGGTAGTAAAAAAAAGTAGGCCTAATTGTCTCCCTAAAAATAAATAGAACATTCTATGCGTAAACAAAAAAATGTATTCAAAACACAAAAATACATTGTTATTAAACACTCACACTTTATGAAGTTCGCTCATTGCAGCCAACGTATTTGCATTTACCACGTATGGTTTGAATGTCATTTCGATTTTTGTTGCTTAAATCCATTCAAATACACATAAGCGTTTGTGTGTAGGTATTATAATTGAAATTAATTATATTGTCGTCATTGTTTAAAAGATAGAAATGTTTAGTGTATTTTAAAACAGTGCAGTTTAATTTTTTTGAGATTATAGAATAGTTTTGCAAGATTATTCAAATGTCAAATATAACATAATGTATCGATTGCACAACAATATAAAAAGGCTGTAAACACTCCAATTATAACAAGTCACAATCTTGAAAAAATAAATAAAATTGTACCCACGAGTTTGAATATAAAAAAGCATGTTTACCACTAAAAATGACTATGCATTCGTGAAATTAAAGTCATTATGTCAACACTAATGGTTAATTTTTTTCAATAGACAGAGCAAATCGAACCGAGTCTTTTTGAAAAGAAATTATTGATATTGTTTCTTTTAATTGTATCAATATAAAATGCATTTAAAAAATCTCAGCCGTAAAATGTTATCTAAATATTTTAAAATGTCACTAAATGTCAAATTTTCTTCTATATAAAACTTGTCGTTAAAATTAAAGCAGCTAAGATAAAGTAATTCATAATAACGGAATATAATGTATTTAAATTTTAATAATATATACAATCATTTTTAATTTAATTCGATTGTAAACAGGATGTTTCTGATTGGTGAAAACTCATTCAAGGTCGATAGTGTAAGTATTAGCTTTACTTTCCAATGAAGTAAGAAAAACTTTACATCTGGAAATTTACCTACCGAATTTAAAATTTAGTTTATTTCATACCAGAAAATATGGTTGTTTTATACATCTATGTGATGTTTGTTTTTTTCACTACCGCAGAAAATTATTACGCCGTTAATAACAAAATCTGTAGCTTGAATTATTTTATGAAAATCTTATCTTGCATCTGTGACAGTAAATTCGAACTTCGAAACAATGAAGGTAATTATTATTATTATTATTATTATTATCTTTATTAGCTTTATTAAATATTTATTTATTTATTTCCTTTCATAAGAACGGAAGAAAGTCCATCTTCATTATGCAGTGGATCACTGTTGTAAATTTTCCTGTTCGGAATTATTTCTGAAGTTATATTGTCCATTTAAAAATTCTGAGGAAAGTCGTGATTATTTATCAAAATACATTTCTCCAGAATACGTTTTTGATGAAAATATTATTGCAGAGATATGCAAGAAGAATGGTATTAAATACAACAAAGATTTTTCGACTAGACAGAACCAGGATCGAACATATTCAGATTTTTCTAATTGCAGAACGGTCGATTCCTATTCTGGTTTTAGGCATAATGAAAATATTGACACGTCCGTAAGTATCCCTGATGACGAAGACTATTCAATTATTGGATCATCTGGTTTCTCGAGTGGAAAAGGTTATTCTGACGAATCATCCGGTATTTTAAACGACGAAACTGCGATTCATTAAGAGAAAAATAATTTTTTCTGACCTAAACAAAGAAAACAAGGTAATCTTGTAATTAGATAAACATTTTGTAAACTGGATCGATAGTTATATTAATTAATATATTTAAAGCATATCATTTCCAAGGAGTCTGAAAACCTTCATGTTTCACGAATTAAAGGAATATCCGCATAAACATCGTTTTTTTAAATAAAGTTGTAAAATAATTTCATTTGATATTTAATTTAAAAATAAATAAAAATTTTCTGTAAATCTTTAGTCCAATTTTAGAAATTGTTAGTTGTATATCAAATATTATAATGAAAATTCATATATACAAAAATTACATAGATACTCCTACTTTCGCTTTAACTTTTCTAAGTAAAAATTTAAACTATGTTTACGCTTTAAATGCTATTTTCTAATTGATTTTTATAGTAATTTATCAAGATTAATGTTCTTTCTGATTATATAATAATGTAAAATTAATATATCCAATAAAAAAGCAAATTTCCTCATTAAATTGTATATTGTAATGGAAAATATCAATACACATTATTTTAACATATCCCGTTTAACCATTATATTAATTCCAAATTCATATTAATTAATAAGCAATGCTTCAAAATTAATAATGCCTTCAATAATAAATTAATTAATAATCTGCTATAAAGTATTTGCATAGTCTCTAAGTAATGTAAGCAATGGAAGTTCCAAAACTATTGTTTACACTATTATAATCTATAGATAAACCAAATCAATCTTATTTATAATGATAAACCATGCAAACGATAATACCGAAATCTATTATAATATATATATATATATATATATATATTACTTCACCTTCCAATATTCAACATAATTGGGAAGTATAAACTTAAAACACTTCAGTATTTAACAATTTATAATAATATTAATAGTTGATAACGCATATCATTCTATTAACGTTTTAAACTTTTCGAAAAATGGAAATTATTGGAATGAGTAATAAGTAATGTTTTTTTTTTTTATTTATTTGAATAGACTTTAACTAAATGCTTTTTTAATGTAAATAATCGAATGTATTAATATATTGTCCTTCATTAGATATAACATTTTTATATCGGTCTAAAATTTTTGACGCTTTTTTTTATAAAATTCAGCAAATTTTGATTTTATAAATGTTTTATTGGACTTCTTTCAATTAAAACTTATTCCATTACAACTGTTTTGAAACAACGTCTAGCTGCAGAAACACATTGGCTGGCTGAGACCGACTGTAGCGCCTTTAACGAAACATATCGAGTGAACTGGTAATCAGTAAGACGAACTAACAAGTGTTAACAAGTGTGCGACGATTCTCGAACAAATAGGTGTGTGCGTGTGATGATCTTTGTAATTATAAATTGTGAATACAAGTGACTAATATTATTTTCTTTTTTATTTTGTGCATGTTATAAGTTATAAATAAATATAAACAAACAACACTAACCCGATAACATTAAATCTAAATACCAAAATGATTAATTTACTGTGTTTTTGTTATTTCTTACTCCTGTTTTTAGGTATTCGGTATTCGGC